CGCCCGAGGGTTCGGATCCCACATACAGACCGGCCGCTCACTGGCTGAGCGAGGCGCGGGAGCGACACCGAGAGTTGCGATCCCGTTGCCGGTCCCCGGTCCAGTGCGGGGGCAACACTGAGGGTTGTGATCCGTTGCCGGACACGGAAAAAGACAAAAGACAAAAAAAAAAAAAAAAGAAGAGAAAATATAATTAAGGTATGGGAATTTTTTCTGTAAGGATGTTTATTGCAGTGTTGATTAGAATAGAGAAAAAGACAAATAATCATACAAGAGTAGGGGACTGGCTCCAACAAAAGGGTGTATGACCTGGCAGTAGAACACCAGACAGTAACTTAAAACAATACTGTAGAAAGACTATGTGATGAGCAGAAAAGCTATTGGTAAGTGAAAAAAGCCGGTTGTAAAACAGTATTTATACTTTTATTCCATTTTAATAATAAATTACATACATATATCATATGGAAATTTCTGAATGGTGGGGAAAAGAGTGATTTTAATTCTCTCCTAAATTTTAAAATGAAATGTTCTCACCTTTCTACAGTGATCATGTATTACTTGCACAATAAAAGGTTATTAAAAATAAAAGCACTGCAGAAGTCATCTTGGCAGTTGTTTGTTGGGCTTCATACAGAGTTAGTTATGCTTGGCACACCACACTTCGTCTTACTACGTGTTTTCTCTCATGATCTGTAGAGACGTCTTCTGAGACAAGAAGAGACAGAAGCCCTGAAAGGGCTGTGCCCTCACCTGACGCCAGTGCATGGCTCCACAAAGGGGCATTGAGACAGCTATTGTTCGCTGCTGGGGATGCATGATCTCATGCAGTCTCCGCACACCATCCCGGGAAGGTGGGAGGCAGAGATGGTACTGGGACTAGTGTTCCCCTTATAGAAGGGGAAGCCAAGTCACAGAGGACCTGCCTCCTTCCTTACGCTCCCCCTCAGGTTGGTCCCAGGGACGGGGTTTTAGTCCGGATGTCTGGAGCTGGCCATACCCATGAGGTTACGCCTCGCATCTCTTCCGGGTTTCCACATCTCGGTGTGGGTGTGTGAGGGACGGGCCCCAGCCATGTTTGGCCCAGGGAGTGCTTAATCCAGCTTCAGTGTCACACTCCACCCCACATTCTGTGGTTCAGGATCTGACCAAACTCGTTCAGGTTCTCACACCCATTTAAGGCAGGATTAGCTTTTGCTTGTATTCTGTGAACCCTTCACTTTCTGTTCATTGTCACCTCCTCTGACCTTTGTTGCCAATGCCTGCAGCCCCTTAGTCCCTCTTGGCAAGTGTCCCTTATGTCAGCTCATGCTTTCTCCTGCTCTCTGAGGCTCTCCCCCAGGGACTGCATGGGGTCTGCTGCCACTGTCCCCTCTTGGTTGTGCTCTATCTGGGCTTGGGAGTTGGCTGCTCTTCCTTCTCTAAATCCTTTCCTCTATGCTGCAGTTCAGCTGTATACTCCTTGTTCTCTAATTGTGTCATTGAAATGTCCCTTTCTTCCCTCCTAAAAGACTGTGGGCTCCTTGCAGGCAGACACCGTCAATAATGATGGGAATGAAAACAGCTCTGACAGGTGCCAAGCCCAGAGCTAAGCAATTTACATAATTATCTCATTCCATGATGACAATTATCCCGTATTATTATCCTACTTGACCAATGAAGAAACCAAGCCTCTGAGAGGGTGAGTCACTTGCCCAAGGTCACCCAGCGTGAAGTGATGGTGCGGGAATTTTCACCCTGTCTGACTGCAAAGCCACGCTTGTCACCACAACACAATCCTTTTGTCACTGTTTGCTGCTTGATTCACATTTCCTGAGTGTTTGTCGCGGTGTCATCCTCAGGGTCCTCATTTCTTGGCGGTGGAAAAGCCTCCCACTGGTAGGAGAGCATTTATTTTGATCTCTGGCTGGGGTGCTCAGGGCTGGGCTTCCTCTTAGCCCAGAGGGTTGTTGGGCTCAGAACACTCCAGGTTCTGTGTGTTCCTTCCTGCCTTGCCTCTGTCCACCCTTCATTGCTCGACACCTTCTCTCTCCTGTCCCTTTCCTTGGGGACACGTAGGCAGCCAGAGGATTCTGGACAATTGGGACAATCCAGCCGCTGGACAGTCGGGATGCCTGGGGCTGCAGGCCTGGTATCTCTTGATAGACTGGGTAAGAAAATAGAGCCACGAATCAGCAAAACTCCCTCCCCACCCCCCACGCCCCAGGAGAGAACCCAGACTGAAGACAGAGCCCCCCTGGCCCACACACCCCATCTGGTCCCTTCCCCTACACGGCCTCCCTCCCCTTCCCCCAATCAGAATCCTTGTTTAGGGGGCCCAAGCCCTTGAGCTAAGCTCCACCCCTCTCCCAGCATCCTAAAGTTTGGGCGCTGCATTGAAGTCAGAGATTTCCAAGTAAGACTGTGTTGGAGGGACGTCTGAGGCCAGCTGGTCCTGGAAGAACAGGGGAAAGGTAGCAGCCGTCACTGCCACTGTCTCCAAGGACATCCGTGTAGCTCCCGGGGAGACCCTCTGCCCTTTCCTCCTCCCTCCAGCCCAGGGGAGCAGGGACCAAGCTTGCTTATTATCACCTGACGCTGTGCAGCCGCAAATCCCATTGGTGGAGCTAGATTCAGTCTGGCTCTCGTTCTTTCTCGCCTTCTTTGCCTCTCTCTCCTCCACGCTGCTTTGATTTCGCTATTGCCTCTCTCTTCTCGCACTCGGCTGGGGACAACGTCTCACCGGGGCAGCAGCTCGCGCTGCAGAGCCAGACAGGAGCTGCCTGCGGGGCATGGAAGCAGCCATCTTGGCAGCCGGGAAAGGAGCAAGTGTGCACCGCTGCCTGTGACCCAGGCGTCCTGCCGGCTGCTGTCCCCTGTCTGGGAAGCTCATCCACGCAGAGGTCTCCCCCTTCCCTCCCTGCCAGGTCTTCCTCTGCAGGGCTCACTGGAGCCAGGTGAGTGTCCTTTCTCCCCAGAGCACCCTTTTGTCAGAGGCTAGGAGTTGGGGTCCTGCCACCGCCTGCGTGCCCGCCTGGATCTCCAGGCCCCAAGACCTTGCCCCCTTCCCCCAGGCCCTTGGCAAAGGGGCTAACAGCTGGATCCAGTCTCGGGGCACCATAGTTAGTCATCCTGTGAGCATTCTGCTACAGTCAGCAATGCCAACAGGGACAAGGGTGAGGGGAAGCTTTCCCTCTGGCATGAGGGTGCCTTTTCTGAATGGGCATGGAGAAGGGGCACCAGTGTGCACAATGTGTATGCATGCCTGCGCGGAGGCTGGAGGCTTGCCTGCGTAGATGGGTCTGTCTGTGTGCAGTTCTGCTCACCTGTGGGTTTTGACTGGCATGTGGCATATCTGGGAACATATCTTTCTTGCACACAGGTACATGTGTGTGGGGGCACTTATCTGAGTAGCCTGTGGGTATACGTGGGTGGGGACATGGGGAGGCAGTACACAATGTGGCATATCTGGGAACATATCTTTCTTGCACACAGGTACATGTGTGTGGGGGGCACTTATCTGAGTAGCCTGTGGGTATACGTGGGTGGGGACATGGGGAGGCAGTACACTCAGGGTGGCCGTATCACTTATCATATGTGTGGGAGTACACGCTGGGGAGGTTCAGCTCCAGAGCAGGACAGGGCAGACTCGTGTAGGTGAGCAAACCTGTTGGCATGTGAGGGATCAGAGCTGGCAGAGTGCGGCCAGAGGCAAACGCATCTTCAAAGTCTGTGTCTTTGAGCCTGGAGAAGACTCGAGAGAGAACACCAGAACGCGGGTGGGGGTTGACATGTGTGCGAATGCACATGTGTGCGCAGGCAACTGTGTGGGCTGCCAGACTTCTTATGGAGGTGGCACACATGCATGCTGGTGCCCGTGGTGTCCTCTTTTCCCCAAATATGGCTTGTGAGAAGGTGTGCGTGCATGTGTGTGTGCGTGAGCCCGTGGACATGAACAGGTGTGAGTTTGCATGGAGGCACAGCTGCGGAGAGAAAATTGTGGGGCGTCCTTAGAATGTGGAGTGGGTGGGAGGGGCCTGAATATGTAGGTGTGTGTGTGAAGGTGTCTGGCGGGGGGGTGGCTCGCGTGGGTGGCATGCTTGGTGCATGCATGTATGTACGTGCATGCATATGTGTGGGTGTGCATGTGCTTGTATCGGGGTGGATTCTCACAGGAGAGTGGGTATTTCTGGGCATTGCCTCAACCTGTCCCTTGTACCCTGCCCTTCTCCCATAACCTGGGTGCAGAGAAGCTGGGTCACGCCCGCCTTTGGTCCACCCTGGCTTTCTGTTCTCCCAGCGTCACCTGCTGCCACTCTCCCAAGCTAGGGTGGGGGGGGTCATCTTAGCTCTCCCAGAACCGTGGAGAGGAAGGAATGAGAAGCCGCCCAGGTCCTGGAAACTCCAACCAGCAAACACAGCTGCCCCATCTCTGGGAAGACTGAGGAGAGGGGGTATCGAGGCAAGAACAGGTGTCTATGCATGGAGTGGCATAGGCTGCATCCATGTGGGTGGGTGGGGTAGGCTCCTCAGGGCCTCTCGGGTGGGAGTGTTCTGTGTCTGTATTCGTGTGCGTGGGTGCATAAGTGTGTGCGCATGTGAGGGGCACACGTGTCTTCCTGGGAGCTTCCCACAGGGAGCTCAGGAGATGGTAACTCTGCACTGTTCCACACCTGTCCCTGTGAATTACAAACTGGTTTATTGTCATAGGGTTGTTTCCAGACACCCAATGCCATCTGTTTTGTCTTGGGGTGGACCTGGTAGCACCCCATGCTATTTGCCATAGGATTTCCTGTGCACAAAGCCACTGGCATTTGGCTCTATGGTGGGAGGCTAAGAGGAAGCAGGACCCGAATGACACCCTGGGGCAGGTCAGGACCGTCACCCACAGCCTTCACCCTGCACCCGCCACCCAGGCAGCCCACAGGTTAATTTAGAGGTGCCAGGATCTGCAGCAGCCTTAACTGACAGCAAAGAGTGGGCTGGATCTTCTGGAAGCTATAAATAAAAGTACCTGCTTTTGCAGGCACAAGGTGCCCTCACCCCTAGCTTCTGAGCAAGAAGAGGAGAAAAAGAGGGAAGAAAGGAAAGAGGAGGTGACATTTGGACAACAGAGGTGTGCTGGGAGCTGGGCTTGGGGAAAGACTTGGGAAAGCATGAGACCGAATGCCCCTGGAGAAAGTCCCACATGCATCTGCGTTCTCATTCCCAGCAAGGCTCCTCCCTCACCCCCTTCCACACCCCATAGCCCGGAGCTCACACAAGCAAGGCCAAAGTCAAGACTGCAGTGAGCTCTTCCTAACAAATGCACAAGAGGGTGTGATGGTGGTGTGGTCCTTTCCTATCTGGAAGAGCAATAGACAGAAGTGTAGAACCAAAAGAGTGGGAGAGGGAGGTGAGAGAAAATGCAATTGCTTGAAAGGAAAATATAAAAGGAGGAAAGATAAGTAGCGGAAACACCACATGCATCTACTTCTGCACACATGCTGTGCACGTGCCATGCATGTGCCACACACATGCACACACCTACAAGGGGACGCAGCTTTAGCTTAACGATAAAGAGCCTGGGCTCCAGAGTCCAAATCATCTGCTTGCTGTGTGGCCTTGGCCATGTTAGTACCCTCAACCTCAGTTGCCTCATCTGTAAAATGGGGATAATAATAGTACCTGCTGTGAACCTTGCATTAGATAATGTTTGTGAAATTATCAGCACATGGCCAGCCCCCAACAGATGTCAGTATTAAAACTAATTACTCAAAAGAGTCAAATGAGATCAGCTTGTAGGCCGCAGCTCCTGCTGTCCCCTCCCACCATGAATATATCATGTACACCTGCGTGGCACTTGTCCTCCCAGCCCTGAGCCGTGGTGATGCTCACTGAGTCACCCCCAGAGAGGAGCGAGGCCAGAGCCCAAAGAGCCCGGCCCCCGTGGACTCTTGGCTGCCACTGTGGCCACATGCTTCAATCCTCGCACCTCAGCTCCCCAGCAGGTGCTTCCTGTCTCTCCTCCGCCTGTCACCCAATCTCGCCACCCCCACCCCTTTTTCTTTTCATGCCTGCTGGCTGAGGGCCCCCGTCCTCCTCTCCTCCTCGGCTCCATCTGCTGCAAATCTGTCCCCGCCCGGCACTTGCAGCATCCCCACTGCCTCTGCCACCTGTCAGGTGCCATCTGCTCTGCAGACCCCCCCTCCCAGGAGAGTGGAAAGCCCCCCTGGGGGCACCCCACCCCCGGTCGGTCCTTCCCCTCCCCATGCAATCGTTTTGATTGGGTGCATTTGACAGGTCCTTGAGGCTCCACCTCACAAGGGATGATGGGAGCAGGATGTTCCAGAAAGCTCCATGGTGGGGAGGGAGATGCTGATCCTTCCCCGCCCCCTCAGTCCCCACAGGAGCCAAACCAGCGGGGAGCATGGAGTTGCTGTCCACCCCCCACAGCATTGAGATCAACAACATCACCTGCGATTCCTTCCGCATCTCCTGGGCCATGGAGGACAGTGACCTGGAGAGGGTCACCCACTACTTCATTGACCTCAACAAGAAGGAGAACAAGAACTCCAACAAGTTCAAGCACCGGGTGAGTAGGGCTGCCCCAGGTGTCCCTCCCCAGCCCCTGCCCTTGAAGGTTAATGAAATGCTGGAGGTGATGGTTTGCAGTCACAGGACTGGCTAATATCTGGACTTTTCTTACTGTGCCATCCTGGAAAAGTTACTTGACCTCTCTGAGCCCAAGTTCCTTCACTGGCGAAAAGGGAATAATAATGTCAACTCTCATAGGGTTGTTGGGAGGATTCAGTGAGTCATGTTTGCGTGGTGCTTGGCACAGTGCCTAGCACAGAGAGATCATTGTTATCAGTGCCATGACTGAGACTTTAGGCAGGGCACAGAGCCCAGCAGGTGGGGCTTCAGACGTCACACGTGGGGATGACGTCTAGGTTCTGATAAAGCCCCAGCTGTGGGGACCAGCCTTGTTGACTGGGCAGGCAACATGGGCCTTAGGCGGGGTGGGACCCTTCTGCTGGGTGCTGGGTGATGCCCCTCCACCCCCGCCTGGCAGCCCACTGTTGGCTTGGTTTAGAGAAGGAATCTGAACATTCTTGGTGGGTGTGGCCCTTCCCTGGGTTAAAAGGTGGTGTGGGGGTGGGTGGGAGGAGGCCTCCCGTGCTCCCCATCTGGCAGAGCAGGGGAGAGTGGGGCGGGACAAGCTGTTCTCCGGACACCAGCATCAGGGTGGGTTGCTCAGCCTCTCCCACCCTCTGGAACTGGCCCTCCTGATCTGGGTGTCTTTTGGCAGGCCAGTTGCCACGGTGACGTGAGAGCTCACCACCACCCCCTTAACCCTCCCCTCCAAAGAAGAAGGCATATTTTCCCTTCCTCTCTGGCTTCTCAGCATTCGCCGTTGCCGTGGAGACGGCACTGCAGTGTGCAGAGCTCTCGAAGTCTCCCTCAGAACGGAGGTCTTGCCGCCCTCAACTTCACGGGCCTCCTCCCCAGTGGCCTTTCCCCTCAGTTCCCAAGAGAACGTGGCGTCAGCGGGGTTTCAGGAGGGGTGGAGACTGTGGAGTGTCTCTGTGGCCTTCCCAAGGGCCACTGCTTGTATCTGCAGGAAAATGGTGGCAGGGGCTGGAGCCACTGTATCCCCGAGACTCTGGCCTGCCTCAGAAGGCCATTTGGGGAGTGGAAATTCTGGGGGAATGACAACACTGGGTGTGACCCCCAGTTTGACTCCGGAATCTCTGTCTGTATCCCGTTTCTCAGGATGTCCCCACCAAGCTTGTGGCCAAGGCGGTGGCCCTGCCCATGACAGTGAGAGGCCACTGGTTCCTGAGCCCCCGCACGGAGTACAGCGTGGCCGTGCAGACAGCTGTGAAGCAGAGCGATGGGGAGTACCTGGTGTCAGGCTGGAGCGAGACGGTCGAGTTCTGCACTGGGGGTGAGGTCCTCCTGTGACAGCCCTGTCCTGCTGGTTTTGGCACATCTGGCTTAGCTGTTGTCAGGACGGGGCTCCATCTTAATCCAGAAAATACTGTGAACACCAGCTGGACATAGGGAGACACACAGGGAGGTGACCCTCCCCTGCCCTCCGGAGTATGCTCCTTTCTCTAATGCAGACACAGAGACGGACACCACTAATCATGCTGGCAATGCCATTTCCATAAAGGGATGGAATTACCTTTCTGGCTTGGTGCAAGCATATTTTCTTAAATTGTGGTAACATACATACCACATAAAATTTCCATCTTGACCATTTTTATTTATTTATTTTTTTTTATTTTTATTTTTTTTTTGTCTTTTGTCTTTTTTTCCGTGTCCGGCAACGGATCGCAACCCTCAGTGTTGCCCCCGTACCGGACCGGGGACCGGCAACGGGATCGCAAGCCTCGGTGTTGCTCCCGCGCCTCGCTCAGCCAGTGAGCGGGAACCGGTCTATACGTGGGATCCGAACCCTCGGATGGGAGCACTGCCGCGCTTCCCAAGCGGCGCACCATCCAGTGCGCCACCGGGCCGGCCCCATCTTGACCATTTTTAAGAGCATAGTTCAGTAGTGTAATGTATATTCACACTGTTGTGCNCCTGCTGTGACAGCCCTGTCCTGCTGGTTTTGGCACATCTGGCTTAGCTGTTGTCAGGACGGGGCTCCATCTTAATCCAGAAAATACTGTGAACACCAGCTGGACATAGGGAGACACACAGGGAGGTGACCCTCCCCTGCCCTCCGGAGTATGCTCCTTTCTCTAATGCAGACACAGAGACGGACACCACTAATCATGCTGGCAATGCCATTTCCATAAAGGGATGGAATTACCTTTCTGGCTTGGTGCAAGCATATTTTCTTAAATTGTGGTAACATACATACCACATAAAATTTCCATCTTGACCATTTTTAAGAGCATAGTTCAGTAGTGTAATGTATATTCACACTGTTGTGCAACCAAATCTCCAGAACTCTTCCATCCTGCAAAACCAAAAATCTATACCCATTAAACAAGTCCCCATTCTCCCCTCCTATCAGCCCCTGGCACCCACCACTCTACTTTCTGTCTCTATGAATTGGACTCCTCTAGGTATGTAGCAATGGAATCACATAAGTGGAATCCTACATTATTTGTCCTTTGGCATCTGGCTTATTTCACTTTGCATAATGTCCTCATGGACCATATGTGTGGTTGCATATGTCAGAATCTCCTTACTTTTTTTTTTTTTTTTTTGGCAGATGGCTGGTACAGGGATTGAATCCTGAGCCTTGCTGTTATCAGCACCACGCTCTAGCCAGTTGAGCTAACCAGCCAGCCCTTGATAGTCCTTCCTTTTTTTTTTTCCTTTTTTGTCTTTTTTCGTGACCGGCAGCGGGATCGCAACCCTCAGTGTCGTGCCCGCACCGTGCTCAACCAGTGAGCGGACCGGTCTCTATATGGGATCCGAACCCTTGGCGGGAGCTCTGCCGCGCTCCCAAGCGCCGCACTCTACCGAGTGCGCCACCGGGCCAGCCCAATAGTCCTTCCTTTTTAAGGTTGGATAATATTCCATTGTATTGACATACCTCATTTGTTTATCAATCGATGGATAAGCAGCAATCACATTTTGCTTATCCTGATTTCCACTTAGCCTGGGAAAGTGGTTTCTATCCAATAGCCCTGCAAGCTCTCTTAGCAGAACTGAACTTGCAAACTCCAGCATGAACAAACACCAGGTGTATGTGCACCTGGCCACTGACGACCCAGGATCCTCCCCACAATCTTCCATTCTTTTGGTGTCCATGGTGAGAACTGCTCCAGATCTCTCTCTGTCACAGGAAGAGGCAGGGAACGTTCCCAGTCCTGGGCCCCCAGGGCTGCTGGCTCCAGCCTCTGCCAAGGTCCATGCTCTGGTGTCCTTGAGCTGCCGTTGCCTTTTTCTCAGTTCTGCTGCAAAACCCCACTCTCTGGAGGCACTCCTTCTCTGTGAGGGAAAAGCTTCTTGGTTTACCCCCAAGAACTCTATATAGTAGGCATTTAATTCACACTGGGGAGTTGGGGGTGGCTCCAATCCAGTCCACACTCCTCTTGCCAAATCAAGCACCCTGGCCAGGGACGCACTAGCAAGGAGGAAAGGGGACCTTTACCTATTTTGTCCCAAGGTGCTGTATAAGCTAGTAGCATCCTTGCCTGGCCCCAGCGCCACAGACCCAGGCCAGGGAGGTTCAATTTTACTACCTGTCTGCAGCCTTCCCTGTCTCTCCTGAGAAGCTCAAGCAGAGAGCCATTACCCTAGCCCCTGGTCTGCCTAAACAGTCATGTCTGTGAGGCTCAGGACACCCCCCAGGCTCTTCATGAGCCCCTACCTGGGATTACAACCGGCTTCCTTGTGGGTGCTGTGGGCAGCCTCCTGCCTGCTGGGTTGGATGAGCTCTCCCCAAAAGGCCTCAGATTCTCCCCTCTTGAATCCTTTTGCCTGTTGGTCCTCTTCTTCGACAAGGATGGCTTGGAATTACATCCCCTGGGGCCCCCGGTGTGATAACTGGACAGCTCCTGCCCTTTTCTGACCTGGGGGAACCCTGAGCCTCTGGTAATGAGGGTGCAGAGGTGATGAGGACAGCCAGCATGCAGCTCTCCATGTTCCTAGCAGAGGCCAGCTGGCCTGTTCCCATCTGAGTCCAAGTCCAGAGACTGTCTGGTCTCTGTTGCTGCAGAGGTTGGCTGGCAGGCACAGGGTGGGGTGGGGGAGAGGAAGAGGCTGTAATCCTTCAGCCCTCAGCTCACCTCACCCGTGTGGACTATTGCAGATTATGCCAAGGAGCACCTGGCCCAGCTTCAGGAGAAGGCCGAGCAGATCGCAGGCCGCATGCTCCGCTTCTCCGTCTTTTACCGCAACCATCACAAGGAATACTTCCAGCATGCCAGGTACCACCGGTGCAGGCTCCCGGCCGGGCGCACCAGGCCTCTCCTTCCTCTCCCAGCTCTTCCTGCTCCTTCCCTGGCTGTCTGAGGTCACCCCTACCTGTTGGCTGCCAGACCCTCCTCCCCATGCCTGCACATCACCAGGCGGGCTCTGAAGTGACTGGTACTTTGGGGTTGGGCTCAGGGAAGGTCAAAGGCTCTAGGGAGGGGCCCACCAGGCAGAGCCCGGTGCTGACAAGGGGAATGAAATCCTGGGCTTGACTCCCTCCCTGAGACAGTTCCTTTCACTAGGTCCACCACCACAGGTCAGCTGCCTCTCTGATTCAGGCCCGGGTCCAAAGGAGAGGTGCCAAGAATAGCACAAAACAAGAGAGTTCTGAGCAGGAAGGGTTCTGGGGAGCATCTTACTCGATGGCTTTCAAACTGGGTGCTAAGGATCCTGGGGTTCTAGGGAGACATCTTGGGGTGCTGCCGAGGGACTCAGGGGGATCAGAGGATGGAGTTAGGTGGGCCCCACCTGTGTTGTCCAGCCAGCACAGCTCCAATTTTACTTGCCAATGACCTACCTATATATAATTTCCACTGGAGAAAAAAAGAGAGGTGTTCTGCCGCCCAAACATATTTGAAAATTGATGATCTGATACAACACCCTTAGCCTACATAAGAAACTGAGGCCTGCAGGGGAAGTGGGCCATCCAGTTGAGCCAGCAAGTCACTGGTCACTCAGGACAGCCAGGACCAGGCAAGAGTGGGGCAGGGCCAGGGGTTGTCCACCCTCCCCCATGTCAGCTGCCACCTCTCCAACTCCATGTCCTTCTAAGGCTAGGCCAGGGCAAGCTGCCATTATTACTGCCTTTGTCATTACTCTCAGCCGGGTGGGCTGTTTTGACCCTACCCCAGGACAGTGAGGACCTCAGGGGTCTTTGGTGTTTGTATTAAGGAACAGAGACCCAGTCTGGGCTCCTTTATCAGCGAGAAAGAGAAAGACAGAGGCAACCATGTGTGCCAGGCACTTTGCTAGTTTCCAGGATATAAAGATAAGGGCACCAACAACCCTTTTGAGAAGCTCAGAGTCTCGCTAGGGAGACAGGACAGGAAGGTTTAGTGTAATAAGTACGTGTAGCTGTTGAGCAAAATTCATACATCCTGTGCTGGGACGTGAAGGACGATTAGGGGTTCGCCAAGCCAGATGGAGAAAGGTGGGGAGGACAGTCCAGGCAGAGGGAAGAGCAGTGAGAAGGTGCAGAGGCAGGAAGGAGAGGCCTGGCTGGAGAATGTCTCCTGCAGTTGGGGGGGGGGGGGGCAGGGGGG